AATAAGTGTAGTAATGTCTGCTTCACATGGGTCATGTAAGGCTTCATTAAAATAATATTCCATGAAAAACTGTCTTTCACAAAGTACATGTTTAGTTAGTAGAGCATGCTTCCTTATTAGCTCTTTATTGCCTATTACCTAACGGTATTACACTCTCTTGATTTCCAATCCATTTCTACAATGCGCCAGTTATCTTTCTAAAACTCAAATATCATTTCTCTATTCAAAAACCTTTGATAACTCCCAGTGCCTACAAAATAAGTTATTTCTTGGTATGGCAGTCAAGACTCTTTAGAACCTGCCAACATTCCTTTCCTATTCTCCACCATGCCCCCACACTCCAACTGGGCCAGGCACTGTTAGGCTTCCTGGCATTTGTTTATGCTGAAACTTCTGCATGGAATTACTTTTTTCTCTTTCACCTGGTACAGTACTGTTCATCCTTTAAGATCCAGATCATATGTTACTAACTCTGTAAAGGCTTCCCCAAACCTCCAGATTTTGCTTAAGCTGCTGCTATGACTCAATACACCACTTATTGACAGAAGAATCTCCCTGGCTCCACTGTTAGGTCTTTGTATTTTATATATCTTTGTCTTCCTAGTATTGAGCAAAGTCCCTAGCATATAGTGGGTCTTCAATAAAGAATTACCAAGTTACATTTCTAGGAAGTTCTGTTCCCCAAATTATCTGTTTTGCTGGCTTACAGCACCTAAAATTCCAGATACTGAAGATTTCTTGGTCTTCAAGAGTTCTCCTATTAATATGTTAATAGATTTAGAGGAATTATTTTATCAGATCATTCCAAATATGACAGCTATTTGAGATTAAGACTCTTCAAAACCTTTTGACCCAGTAACTTGATTTTCAAGTATTTGTCCTATAGGTATATTCATATACCTACAAAATAACATATTCACTGCATTGTTAGTAAGAGTGGAAACAACCTAAATGTGCATCAACGGGGAACTGGTTAGGTAAATTATAGCATATTCATAAAATGAAATTATTATGCAATGTAAAAAAAGAAATGAGTTTTGATATGGAATGATCAATAAGGTGTAATGTTAACTAAAAGAAGCAAGCTGTAGAACATTGTTTATAATATTAACATTGTTTAAAGGGGAAAAAATATATGTTTGCTTTCCAGACACAAAATATCTCTGAAGACTGACTGATCTCCCTCTAAGGAGATGAAACAGGTGCTGGGCAAAAAGGAGTGGGAGGGTTATTTCCCATTCTATATCTTTTTGTGCATTTTAAACCATATGAATATGCATATATTAGCTACTGAATATGATATATAAAAATATGAATATATTACCTGTTGAAACAATGCAGTAAAAAGTAAAAAGGCCCTCAAGAAGCTTGGCATAGACTTAGGCATGTGTTTGTTTTTTGGTCTAGGAGGAATACCCGGAGAGGGAGGAGTTTTCCTGTTTCTGAGGAAATCCAATTGTCACAATGAGCCTAGTGTCTATAGGGAAGTGAAGATCTATGTGGCGACACAGGAAGGGAGGAAAAAGATATCTGAGGAATAAGTCAAGAAGGAAAATACACAGGAACACTTTGAGATCATGTCTTTCAGCCCTAAAGCTGAAGGAAGACAGAAAATAATGACACACCACTGAAAGTATCGCCATGACTTAAAAAAATTGTGTACTGTTTGACCCAGATATAGATTGATCTACAACATAATGTTGAGGGAAAAAAGCAAAGTGCAGAACAATGTACAGAGTATGATACCATTTGTATTATTTTAAAAAAAGGGAAAATAATATCAATATGTATTTGCTGATATATGCATAAAATATCTCTAGGTTATACAAGATATTGATGACAGATGTCTCTAGAGAGCAAAATTTCCTAGGAATTTACTCAAAGAAATAACTGAATAAGTGCACAAAAATATTTAGTAACTAAATTGAAGATTGGTTAAATAAATTATGATACCTCATGTAATGAAATCTTAAAATGGCAAAGTGGCAGCCATTAAAATGATAATATCATACACACATTCAATAATATTAAAAGCTGTTCATAAAAGGAAAAAAATGAGTTACCAAAGAAAATGAATGCTATGATCCTATTTTTGTTAAATTTTATTTATACATATATAAAATATATATAGATATACAGCACAAAATTAACTGGTTACCTCTAATATTGAGATCTTTATTTTCTTCTTGATACTCTATTTATCTTGTTTTTCTTTTATAATCAGAAATACAATAAAGCTAAATATTAAAAAACAAACAATAACCTGAATAACAGGGCATTTTCTCTTTGCTGCCCTCCTTCCCCGCAAACACAAGAACTCCTCCCCTTCATGTTGTCATACTCCCAGAGCCCACTTCCCTCCAGTGCTCCCAATTCCTTCTGCCTAAGGGAGCATCAGTCCAAGGCCATTAACAAGAAGTTTCTGGGAGCACAGACAGCCATAGGCAGGACGATCAAGATTCCTAAAAGCACCCCTATCAACTGAAACCATTAGATAAGGAAAGGGGTGGGAGGCCAAGGACACCTCTTACTCCCCATTCCGCAGAAAGTGTGAATGTGAGGGAGGTTAAGTCTTTGCTCTATCCCACCACCAATTATTTGGGGAAAGGACCGGGGGTAGGGGAGTGAAGCGGGGGAGGTCGGAGGATGGGCGGGGGGAAGGTAGGGGTAGAACAAAAGAGCGGGTTTATTCTTTAAATGTTCCCTGGCTCCTTTAGAAGAAGCTGATGGAAAAGGACAGCATAATAAATGAATGAATGAATCAATCGATCAATCGATCAAACCTTATTGGTCTGTTACCTGTAAGGACAGGGACTCCAGTATGGTTAGGTACTGCTGTGTCTGTCTGGCTACTTTAACTATGGTGTACATGTTTTTCTGATGTCATCAGAAGATGTCAACGACAGGGGAGATGGTCCATTTGCCGTTTCTGCTATAATAGAGCAGGGGCTACTTGGACAGTGTCTATGTTGACTTCCGGGGAGGACAAAATTTCCTGCTCAGCTCTGTCTGTGTCTTGGAGAAAAGAGGCTCAGCCACCAAGTGTTCCTGGGTGGTGAGGGAGACCCTTTAGATCAGGAAGCTTGAGCAGCACAAATCACAGATCTGATTGGCTCTGGTTTGGGAAATCTGCGTCTTATGATTTTCTCCATTATAAAGATTTTCCTCATTCAACAACCAAGTGGAAAACTACCCTTATTCATAGATTAGGGAGCCCTGATAACGCACAGACCCAACACGTATGCAAACGACACATGCACGTACCTGCGCACCAGTAATATACGCGCATCACACATTACACGGCGAAACAGGCATACCATACAGACCCAAGTACAGCAGGACTCTAGGCGGGAGGCTGTTGCATATCCACGCATCCCCTAAAATACACACGAGCACCGGGGAGGAGAGGATGGGTGAAGAGGGGCGGTGCGCACACGGCCCAGCACTGAGACACGTGCACCGAGAAACACTCGGCGCTCACTGCGTTCCCAGTTAGGTACGCACCTTGGGCAGGCACCACTCCGAGGACGGACCTGCCCAAACGCCCTCCCGGGCGGACGGCACGTTACCGCGCGAGCGCGGCGGACCCAATTCCCTAAATCTAAAGGAAAAGGCATAGCAGGCTAGTGAGCGAGGAGAGGGGAGATGAAGTGCTCTCCCGAGGGAATGGGACTCGGGACTAGCGAGTGGGAGTCTGTTCCCTGCCCCTCTCCCGCAAGCCTTACTGATCCTGGTGCTGCGGCTGGTGGCTGTGCGACGTCTCCCTGCCCTGCGCCGCCGCCTCACTGAGGTGGTGCCGGACGCCCCCGCCAAGGATGGGGCTCCGGCTCAGGTGACCCCAGCCGCCCCGCGGGCAGTGACTGCCAACCCTGTTCAGCGCATTCTGCAGAGCCCTCATGGAGTGCATCCCCCCAAAACGTCGCCCTCTCCGCCAGAGCGACCAAGGCGTCTGAGCAGTGGTTGGAAGGGGGGCGGAGGAATCGCGGATGAAGCCAGGTGGGGGGAGCTCTGTGATGGAGTGCGAAGCCTCAGAGGTGGAGAGTAGAAATTTAGTGGGTGGGGTTGGAGCAGGAGGAGGGGCCTGTCCCCTTAAGGCTCGGGATACAGTCAGATGCACCCAGGACCCCTTGGACTGGGAATTGATGAGTAATTCACCCGCTAGGGAAGAAAACGGGGCGACAGGCGTCCAATGCGTGGAGAGGAGAGAGCGGTGGTCGGGAGCTGGGATGGACAATGTCGAGGTCCAATCATTGAGG